TATCAGTCGAGAATTTGCAAAAAATACCCACCTGGCGCTGAGAAGCAAGGTCAGAGTTCAGCTTGAGATTCTCGCTACGAATACGTTTGCATTCCTCTTCAATAACGGCATTACGACGTTTAGTCATGCAAATCTGAAACGAATATTGATCGGTTACTCGGCCGTTTTTTGATCTCGCTAGCTACTTTTCGAAACTAAAAATTCTCTGAGCTTTATTGTACCTGAGCCTGAAGATCACACAGCTTAACAATGAGATCGTCCTCATCACCCAAATTACGGGCTTTCACGGCAGCGTCGTATCTGAAAGTTTATTACGATAGTTTAACCCAATAGATGTTAATCCATTCTTTACAAACCCAGGAATGAAAAAAAACGTGAAAGTTCATGGCCAATCAAACGTCGGCTGCCCGCCTACTTTCATTGAAGAGCTAAGACGCGATTGGATGCTTGCTTTGCTTTGGATAAATATTAACTTCTGAATTTGTACCCTAGATAGAATGGATACTGCTTACCTAGATCGTATATCTGTGAGGTCGGCAGTAAGGCCACGCACTTCTTTCTCTAGATTAGCGTAATCCTTCTTGGCGTCGGCGATAATGGATTGAGATTGCTGAAAGGTTCATAAATACTCACTTTATTGCAGCCTTTATTTACTAAACAATACTTTTTCTGGAACTTGGGAGACACCAAAAAAGGTGGCTCTAGAAATGTTCTTCAGATATTTGCCATGGAACATATTTCCGTTCGTATGAAAGGATGTGATTGGTCGAATAAGTGTAAGTGTGCACGTGATTGGCTGATTCTTAACGGCTTTATTCAACTGCTCAAGAGTCCCATGTTATATGTATGTATTACAGCGGTAAATAAATCAACAGCCTCTCTTCGAAGCGGACAACTAATTGCCTCAAGCGGAAGGTACTCGAGGGAGTCACGCGACGGTGCGACTATGCCACGTCATGTTTGCTTGCCTGCGCTCTCTCACCGAGCAGAGAATCGGCGTACGTATCTAATCCGAACAGGACTCACGACCCATTGTGAAACCACGAGGGAGGGCCCGTATTTGGCTTATGGAAACCGCAAGGAGGGGATCGTATTTGGATGCTGCGCAGGTAGGGGCATATGGTTCGAAAGAGGGCTTTTTAAACCTCTGATGTTCTTCGTTCCACCCTTTCACGCGCTATGTATTGCCCCCCATCTGAGCACAAAGTTTGGGAAAGTTTGGTAAGGTAGTTTGGTAATGTTGGGAAAGGGGATGGATACTAAGAGAGAAAATCCGGAAGGGAGGGGGGGGGCATATTTGAGAAAGATTTCCCTTAAGGCGACGATATATTCCGGTTCCTGACTCCGAAGCGCCAAAGGGGTGTGACAAGTCAGAACACCGCAGAGTCGCACCTCTGCGTCGCGCCTTAGCCCTCGACCCTCCTCTCCCTCCCCCCTCAACCAACTTTGCTCTTATACACTCACAGGCATTATGGTTATGCCCCTCCAATCTTCCAGCACTTTTCACACCTGTTTGAAATTAGAGGCAAATCAAGAAAGAGAACTGTTTTCCTCACCGAAATTTCCTTCTCGTACATCATACGGATTCCTGGAGCGTGCTTGCCTTTTGTCAATCTTTCCAGATCATGGCTGAGCTTACGATTTTGAGCTTCAAGGAATCGAACCTGAATACCATTATCAGATAACCTTTCTCGGGTCTGTGGTGAGAAATAGGTCATCATCAGAAATACTGGGACATCTCTTTAATAAATGACGTACTTGTTCAATGTATGCCGCCAATCTGTCATTGAGACCTCGCATTTCTCTCTTTTCCCGTTCGCGAATGTCGCGAATCTCTGTAGCAGTCACGCTACTTCCGGCTGAAACGTACAATTCATTTTGAAAAAGACACTTCAGTTGGTAAAATCGGCGTAACTCTCGTAAGGGGGCGGGACATCTGAAGGACTCCCTGTACAGTTTAGGGTATGGCCTGAGTGAACAAAAGACGCTCTAGCAGCTTCAATAACCTTGTGATGTGGGAGGAGGGGGAATTCGAGGATTCCCAGGGCAAAACTAGGCCTACTCTAACTTAGACGAGAAACTTCGCCCAACTAAAAGGAGGCGAATCTCCGGGCGAACAAACCCTTAATTAAAGGACAGTAATTCTCTTCGGATTCGGTTCATCCCGACTTGCACAAAGGTGAGCCCTGTAGATAACCTTTAGGGTTATTAGACCTTCTTGTTCTTCCAAAAGGTGAATGACTTGAGGGCCGAGATGAGAGGGCCAGTTTAAAGTACGGTTATACTGTTCACATTGCAGTCTCGCATTTTTGCACCAGGAGTCATTTAAATGCCCCACAAGCTTAACAGAGCCTTTTATTTGAAGAAGGTGGAGGACCCCGAGATATGTAAACTATTTGAAGTAAGTTATTCCATCCATCTGTCGTCACCCAGTTGCAAAAGGAGGACTTTAGGCAGATGTCACTCAACGTAATATTGCCTTGTTGCTTATCAGGAGATGGAGGGCTTAAGATGAGTGGACCAATTCCAGGTAGGGTAATACTATTTGCTTACGGTCATTCCAGTTATAAGGAAGTCCATTTAATGCACTCCGCCTCCCCCCCCGTAAAATCTGCTATGATCATTCATTTCGAGGGGAATTCAATAAGAGTACTTTTTACGAGATCACGGTATTTTATTGAAATTGAAATGTAAACTCACATATGAATTCACTAGCTCCGGTGTGAGCCATTCTGAAACGACAACAATTATCAAATATTTCAAATGTGTCAAAAAGTAGGGTAGCATGGGGAAAGCATCCCACTCGGCCCCTTTGGCTACTTGTGCCTGCTGGAATTGGCTTTACGAAGGACTGAGCTAGAGGGTCCCATAGAACCGATAGGGTAACAAAGCGGTAACGGCTTTTTTTTGAAAATTGGATTTAACCAAAAGTGCAAGAGAACTAGCGGGCATAAAACCGTTGTGGTGAAGAAAAGAAACGTTTGAAGGTAGGGGACTATGTTATCGGAAAGCAAACAGCGACGGCGATAGCTAGCCTTCCTCCCGAATCGGCCTGATAGCAACGGCACGTCATCAGAGCGTAATGCCCTATAGACATCAACGTGTTGGTATTGTTAGAAGGAAATGATTTTTTCACAATTTTGGCAGCGCTTTTGCGGAGAAAATCGGAATATATTGATGAAAAGAGGGATTTGGATGCGGTTTGCACGATTGATTCGAAGCTGACGAGGGCCCGTCGGAAACGGGCAGTTTCATGAAATGCCTGCCGCCGACGGCTACAATTGCGGCCCACCCAGTGCATGCTGCGGAGCAAATGCTATTCTTATGCAAATCAACTGTATGAACTGGTATTTGCGAATTCGATGATCCGATCAACACGTAAAAAACTGGTGGCCTTCATGCACACACATAACACAGGACGTCAAAATCATGGGGTTATTAGATGGTGAACCTAACGGGATGATGCACTTAAAGTGGAGGGTCATAGATGAAAGTCGACCACAAAGGACATGAAACGTCCCAAATCGGCTCTCGCTCTGACAAAAGCACTTTTCAACCTTCTCCTATCACGAAAAGGTCTCCCATTAATTTATGAACATCACACTTTTCATCAGCTTAGCGCCGAGGCGGGTGGTATGACGCAGTACCACACGTCCCCCTACCAAAAGGGAAGTAGAGAGAACGTGTGTCCAGGTGACCCCCCCCCCTAGCTAGCTATATACCAACCGAAATTTCCAAGAAGTTTCCCGACAAGCGATGAGGGGGTAGACACTTCCCATCAACTACCAGAAATAGTGGTTTTTCCACGCGTCCTCTAGGCAGTGGTGGCGATGTAGCGTAGCGCACCTGAGGGGAATTCTCTTAAGGTTGAGTTCGACCCTCTCCTCCTGCAATCGAATACCACTCCCTGATTAGTTTCGCACAACGATGCTGTACTCCTCATGCCTGCTGAATTAGCTGAATTGTCTAAAACGCATTGGGGAGAACCTCGCCTTCTGCACTTGCTCAAATGGTTTCCAAGTAAGCCGTTTGGGATGCGCCGCGCATTGCACTTCCATACCAGAACCGCGGTGGCATTCAAACCCGAATTGTCCACCCCAAGACCTTCGCGGCCAGTCGACTAACAGGCCAGTGTTTAATTCTGGTAAGCAGACATGGAACCGAGATCCAGTCCACGATTCGATCCGTGGACTACAAGCGCGCGTTCATCTCTACCACATACCGCTCATGCTGCTGCAGCTACAAGTGGTAAGAGAAAAGCTGATTTTCGATCGAAAAGAGAGGAGCTTGTCCGCTGATGGATAAAAGGAATGCGGATTTTAGGAGCAACTTCTGCAAGGCACACGCCGTTGCCTCTTATTAGAAAATCGCTACTAAGATCACCGATTAAGACTGATCCATTGAGCTAAGAGGTTAAGAGCAGCCTCTAAGGCGCAATGCATAACGCAGTCGCCCCGTCATCATGGGTTGCAGGTTCGAGTCCCGCTTTGGACTCTGAATTTTGCCCATAATTCAACATTCTTGGGATAGCTATCAAGATAGTTCCGAGAAGTACTTTCCCACAAGCACAGCCCATTTGGCAAAGCCGTATAGATACGAATCATAGCGAAAAGTTTCGTCAAGATAACTCCAGAACCACAAAATGTCTTGCGATAGATAAGGACCCAGAAGTTCTAGAACCGTTAGATAGCAATAAAAATTGATTATGTTTTACAGCTCATGTTACTTAAAGGTATCACTACTAACAGGTTTCTCCATGAGGGTATCTCGGCTAGTCAATTCCGTTTTCAACGTGCTAGACCTAAATTTTCTGTTGTGCAGTAGTTCAAATAGTGGCGAAATTTATCAGAAAGCGTTTCACTTGATGGTATGTACTAAAGGGCGCTATCTTAGTGGGCATCGCCGCTGTGGAATTCACATTTGGGGTCGTGTTTAGCGCTAAGAGCAGAGATCTGGTCTGGTGAAAATTTTCCCACTACTCTACCTACTCCTCCTATGTGCTATACCGTCGCTTCATTACATCTAAAGGTCAGTTGGAAGCCTGTTGGATCCCCCATAACAGCAGCGTCAGTACTACTTCCTTCACGACCAGCTACAGCAACACCTAACAATTCGCCTCCCGCATGAATTTCTCAGTACTCAAAAACTTTTCCTCTTGAACAGGACCGGGAAACGGTAAAAACTAACAATGGGGTGAATTGTTCTCAAAGTGAAACGGCTCTCTCTCCCTGCCAGCAAGCCAAATACGACCCCTGATGGGTCTCACCTATTAATGATACACGCTGTCCCTACTGGATGACGACCGTGTTGAAGAATCAGGATATTGGGGAATGAGACAGCGGAGGTCATGTTGGAGAAGAAGATGGGATGGGATGGGCAGGATCGCGTGAGGGAAAAGCTTCTTCATCTGTACCAAGAAGCACCAACAAAGAATGCTTTCTCCAAAACTCCAAGGAAAGTCAATGAGAAATTAGTGTGTTGCGTTTCAAGGGCAACTTTGGCCCGACGGAGCTGACCCTAATTGCGCCCTCAAAAAGACTCCAAACTTTCATAGGAATGTTAAGAAAACAACTCACCCACTCAGAGGTTGGGGACGACTACCGATGCCACCAGTCCTTCTGAAATGATCGATTTCTATTTCGCCACTGGCTTAACGATTCTAGACCAAGAGAAAATTAGGCGCATTTTGGCTTGGAGGGGGCACCGAGTAGCACTCAGTTAATCTTGTACAAGACATTGTGAAGACTTGCAAAATTCTGTGACGAAGTGGACTACTCGTGCCATTTCAAAGGGGTTTACCAGAGGGCAACATGTTATTTTACCAACAAAAGGAACTAGCAAAGTGCAAAAAGGCCCTCCCCCCGCTCCAAGCCGAATATCGTCGAAAAATAAACGTACCTTGAATAGTGCTTGACGCTCTTCTTCGTAGATGGATGGCATCTCCTGGAACAACTCGATTTCACTTCCAAAATATGATGATTTACATGAGAATTTCAAGAAAATATTGAAGAAGGGAGAGATGAGCCACGCCGTTAAGGCTTCAGAGGCTTATTTGATTGCGTCCTTTTTATCAGTACATTTGCGCTTTATACGTGGCAAATATCAAGAGGTGTTATCAGGAAAATGCAGGCTCACATTCCCGTCACTGCTAGCGGAAAACCGCGGCGATAAAAGCTGATTGAGAATGTCAAACCGATCAGCGAAACTATCATAAACTGATAGGCACACACATTGGGCAATAAAACAATGTAACTAATAGTGTCTCCTAGCTCCAGTAGATCAATAGATTCCAGTTTGGAACCGAAAGATAGAGATATCCACTCAAAGCTGTACAAATACTGCACTCGGTCGTTTGGCATAACAAAAACAAGGATATCCCGATCGAAAAATTCAAAGTCAAATTTCCCTATGATTATCGATAACTGGTTAGGAGAGCTGGGAGTGGGTGGTTTCCCGCAGGCTCCCCGCAGATTCCAATAAATACCTAGCGAGAGCTTGCAATTTCAATAATCGATTTTTGGTGTGGAAGTTTCAGCAGGAAAAAAAACAACTGACAAAGCAAGACCGATTATGCACAGAATCCTGATTACAGAAACAGCGACCACTTTCGTTCTCCATAATTCACAGGTACAGAATATAGCTATATTCATGGCAGTTTGCAAATGTCACGGAGTAAGCCATGCATTTGACACTCGTTTGTAATCGAACAGCATTTGAATGGGTACCCGATCTGGACAATGACACCCATTGGTCAACGTTCTGAGGTTTATCTTCACGCTTAATAGGCGTAGCGAATTTACTGAGCTCGCGGTCATAGGAAACTTTAGCGCGATTCATCCCCAACCGGCCCACTTATCTAATCCAGGCAGCATTTCGATCGAATGTTTTCCCTAGCAGCAAACCTGATCAAGTCCCTGCAGCGAGGGGCACCCCGACCCTCCCCCTGAGCACAAAAGTTGCATCCGCTTGAAGTGAGGACGTCTTGTGCCTGCTCTACTGGCAATTCACAGGCCAAATTTGGCCCGATCCAAGCTCGAAAATTAATTCTACCAGAGCTACTGAAGATCAAGAGGAAGGAAATTACCAACATTCATCTATTACTCCCTCACCGATCGGAGTTCAGGCCAATATTTATTCACGATTTTTCGTAAGAGGTAGAATCGGCCAAAGTAATTCTGTTTCAGAGAGTGACTAGTATCGATGAACGGGTGTTGCAATATGTTTGGAGCCCTCGTCATAGGCGCCGAAGACGTAGCGCACCAAGCGTTTTACCGCCACATATATGATATTCGCGCTCAGAGGCGCCCAACCACGTTCGGAGAAATATATGAGCAAATTTGCGAAGCGGTTACGGCTCTGGGGAGGGGGGTGGGAGGAAGAAGGGCAAACTACCTCTTGAGACGAAATTGCACCTGAATCCACTCTCAAGGAACAAGGGATCCAAGGCAGCGGGCACGACTGCTGGGGGCGGGCGGTTGCGGCAACGCCACTTGTGGAAGGGCTGAGTGGGGTGTGGCCAGACGCCTTCTCATAGCCCTCCCCCCAATGACGCCAATGACGTTGGCAGGAACCCGCCCCCCCCCCTCCCCCATCCATCGTGCACGGCACATTTCACTCGCTATCATTAGTTTCATTGGAGGTTGATGTTCAACTTGTGCTTACAGTACGGACTATCTTTGAACGCTTTCCCAGTCACCCCGCCTTCCCTGGACGAAAATTCGGTGTATATCTAGGCTACAACAGATGGCGGGCACAAAATTGCTCTCTCCAGCCAATTTGCACTTCTTGTCCGCATTCCAACTCATTACCAAAAAAATCCACTGATAATTAAATTCCTCAATTAAAACAAAAAGTTATGACACAAGTAAGTGACATGAGTGGCTGATAAAAGCACCACCCATCTTGTTCCTCCCCCTTTGGCTGAACATTCCTGGAATACTTCATGGGGCAAACAAGGGGTAAAAGAGTATGAAACAGACTTAAGTAAGTACATTTCACAAAAATATGCCTGCTTCTACTTTGCGAAATAAATTTCATTATTTTGTTAGCACCCATGCGGGCAGCTTCTGTAGTGCACAACAAATAAGCTGATTAACAAATCTACAAACGAGTCAAGTTGTGAACGCGCACTTTACACTTCTTATGATACGTCTGGACTCAACATATTTCAGGATATTTCAGGACCAATGGGCTATACGGAAACGCAGGTCTCAGAACCCCCATATCTGTTAGTACTCTGAACTGTGGGCTCCATGACTACTTGAAACATCGGTGGCCCTTCACAGTGCAAAGTACAATTGTGATTGGCGCACGCCCAACATGACCAATCATTAATTACGACTCGCGACTATATAGGGCTTAGATAATTTTCCAGACCAAATGAATTCAATAAATGTCACACCTGAACTTGCTACTATGAACCAGTGCCCATAAGGGGGTAAAGATAGGACAGCCATTGAACACGTCTGTTATGAGAGTGTTCAAAAAATATGAATAGGCAGAGGAAGTCAAACTTGAGGGAGTGAGAGAGAATAGACTTCTATGATTGATTTTTAGCCTGGAAGTTCCAGCAAAAATATCTAGAGACTTCTCCAATGATAATGTGGGCGGGGACTAGCAACCGCTGCGCCTTTATTGGTTCATGAGGAGGGGCGAACCAATGAGAAAGGCACGAGGTTGTAAGTCTCCGCCCATCAATCCATTCATGTGGAGTGTGTTTTTCCAAAAATACCTCAGGGCAGGCTACCAGTATCGGCATGCATTGGATTCAGGAGCAGCGTCGGTAGGACGAAGTAGGTGCTACTAAAACAACGCGCCTGGCTGTTGTCTTTTTCCGGTCTAATCTGCATTTTGTTGCAATAATATATCTCACTGGGTGAGACTGCGGAAAAGGCTATATTGACAAAAAAAAGCCGCTTCTGAAATGGTCCTCTCACTGAGAAAGGACTCAACCCTAGTAAAACTCTTCATAAAGGAATAGTCCTCCAGCACCGATCCTGTCCACCACTCGAGAGATACCTTTCATTGCGGTAAGAAAAAAAACTTCTTCAGAGTTGAAGTATTACATTAAGGGAGCAGTAAGTTAAAGAGACGTACTGCTGGAGTTATAACTCGCGTCTCATGTTGCTGTTGTCACCAGAGCAGGTTATTCTTTGATTTTTCTCGTACGGCAGGTATCCATTTTGGACAACTCTAACTCCGATGGGGTTCTCCCAACAATGCTGTGCTCGGTGCTCATACTGCCAAACTGTACCCCCACTGGTTGACTGCAGAGGGCAGAGGAAGAGGTGCAATGCCACTGGTGCCCACGTTCGTTTGCTGTTCCCACGCCCTCTCTGGATATCATAGCCCTCCCTATGAGGATGCAGTATGTACTAGTTTTGCATCTCAAAAAGGCGAGAGGATAGCGCCGTTCGCTAGTGAAGAGTCGGCCGCCCCGCCCACCTGGCCAGCATAGGGTTCTATATAGGGCATTTTCCATGATTTTTTTCTGCTTTTTTTCTTCACTACTGGATCACGTATTATATGAGCTCCATAACTCATTATTCTTGAAAGCGGGCTCAGCCTTTAAAGGCTAAGCCAAAGCAGTTATGGCAGCCAGGTGGGCGGGGCGGCATCCTCTTCACAAGCGGGTGGCGCCATCCTCTATTTTTGAGCTGCGAAATTAGTACATCCTCCACCCTTGTCGACAAAGCTACGATATCTAAGGAGGGCGTAGGAACATCAAATGAACGCGGGCGCTGCCTTCAATTTCACTTCATTCACCTTTACGAAACTTCAGGGAAGGAATCCCTAGGGTCCACCAAAAGCTCGTACGCCATTTTGTCGAGGGCTTCAAATAGGTGGAGATGTACTGCATTCGGGTTAAGAACTACTTTGAGGACTACCTAATCGCTCCAATCCGTGGTGGTATCTGGACAGTAACAAAGCTCTTCGAAATAGAAAAGAAAAAATTTGATAATTCTATGGAGCTTACCGTTCTCTCGGCCGGTTTCGTTGTCGTCGTTGTGGTTTTCGTTTCTTCGAACTCCTTCTTTCTCTCGTAATCATAGCGTTCAGACCTTGTCGTCTCACGAGTCTCACGATACTCTCTGGATGATTCTTCCCTTTCCCTCCTTTCTCGTTCCCTTCTCTCTTGTTCCGTTCTTTCGCGTTCCCTCCTCTCTTCTTCCATTCTTTCTCGTTCCCTTCTTTCTTGTTCGATCCTTTCTCGTTCTCTTCTTTCCTGCTCCCTTTTCTCTTGTTCCCTTTTCTCCTGCTCCCTTTTCTCCTGTTCCCTCCTCTCCTGTTCTCGCTTTCTCCTGTTCTCTCCTTTCTTGTTCCCGTTTCTCCCTATCCTTTTTCTCTTGTTCCTCCCTCTCCTTTTGTCTCTCTTCTCTTCTTCTTCGCTCCTCGAGCAGTTCTTCTCTAGCGATTTCCAAGGTACTTTTCTGCACTCGTGGAGGAGTAGGTGAACGAGCTTTTGGTATAGCCACACGAGGGAAATTACGCACGATTTCCGTGGTAACCGTTTCCATCCTGGTGGTGTCTTCTCGACGTCTTGCCTCACCGAATTCCTTTGTCGGAGGCGGGCTGACAGGGGTTGGTTCACGTTTGAAGTCTCTGTCCTCAGCCCTCGAGTGAGTGGTCCGTTCAATCCTCGTGTACTTCCCTCGTTTCACGATATGGTGCAATTCTCTCTTGCTCAAGTCGTTCACGAGTTTCACGGTGGCCACCATATGAGGGGGTTCTTGCGATCTCCTCCCTCGTGACTTCCCTTCTTTCCTTGTAAGGCTGCTGATCTTTCTCGGATCCGATGGTTTTACGCGACGTAATCGACTCAGTGTAGGTTTTTCTAGTTGGTAGGAGGTCGCTTCTCGGGATGTAGACTTCCTGAAATTGAAAATATGAAACAATGAAATGGCAATCCTTAGGCTGCCTAGAGAAGTGGCGCGATAGGGATCCCCCCCCCCCACTTCGCTACTCTCATTCAAGTCAAGTGCGCCAAGGCTTATGGGGTACACCTAGCAAGGAAGAATACTGTGATCTTGACCAAGGGGTGCGTGGCGCCTTTTCGAATAGAGGGCGTAATTGTATCGCCTAACCAGGGTGTAACATGCCGACCCGAACGCCCACCGCAACCGCCCGCCCACAAATAGCCGGTTAGTCCCATCAACGCAGACTCAACGCTTCACTCATGAAGTACAGTTGATACGAAGAGTTCCTATACGGATATATGAATGCATACATCCGGCCGTATAAATCAAAGCGCTTGCCGGCACGATGCTAACGGAAAACTCGTCCAGAACTGTTCGTCCAGGCCGCGGCAAAAACTTTTTCGCAGGTTTTTGGAGGTCTAACTTCGCTTTTTTGTCGTTTCCCCACTACATTGTACCCTTATACTAATTTTGAGCAAGTAGCAAATTATCGTGCCTTATGCCTTTAAGGACCCGTTGGCTACTTTATCAAAGTGCTGGTTGATCAGTGAATACACAAGTTTTCAGTCCCAGAATTTTGCATTCCGTAGCAGTTTAGCGTACCTATGACAATACTTGTTTGCATTTCTACTTGTGTTTTTTTTCTGTAAGTTTCAAGTATGCTTCATGCGTGTGGCGTCGACACTTTTATCGACACCTAAGCAAATAGAGGTGGCGTGAGTAAGCGCTGATAAAGGAGAGTAGACTTTATGGAAACGGCGTTTGTTCTCCTGGAACAATAAGTCGTAGTCAGTGAATACGTCATGTCTGCTCCTAAGAATGTGGCCCTGGTCAGGGATCCTATACTCTAATCCCAAAGATTGCGAGGGCGTGGATATGTACTTCATTTGAACTTGACTGCGAATAGTGTGGGATGTTACCCTATAAGAGTATATTGCATTTATATCCCTTTTCGGAGCAAGTGTATAACAAGATGAGTTGCCTCAAATGGAAAAATTTTACGACAAACGCACCCTACGCATGTTCGAATGAAGTTTGCAGCCACGTCCTCTCCATATCCGGGATATGGAGTGTGACGTGGCGCAGGATCCCTCAAAAGCACTAAAAGGGCAACCCTGTTCACAGAAATATTCAGCTTGTTCTGTAATTAAAGACGGCTAGCCTGGCTGTTATCGCCTTCGCCTATCGCCTTCGGTTGACTGAAGCAAATTCTTGGCCCAAGAAACTATCAGGATATACCAGGGTGAAGCTATTCGATAATTGAACTTTTGGAAA